TTTGCTTCAATTTGTATACGTTGTTTTCTTGGTTTCGGTTTCAGTTTCAATGTCTCAAACGCCTACGATTCAGTAAACATCGTTTAGGTCATTTGGAAAGCAAAATCCAGTGTATTCTAACATCAGTATAGAACTGACTGGAATGTAATACTCCAGAAATACAATGATAATTCGTAGATGAAAGTGAATCAGAACCTTCTACCTTTGTCAATTTACTGTTTCCCAGCTCTGGTTTCATCACTTCTGAACAATAATCTTCTTTTCTTTCTCTCACGGACAAATGACATTTGATAATCTTCTTCTTCTTCACCATGGCGGTTTCATTAATTTGCTTATTTGTATCTCCAGAAAAATGAAACGTGAAAAAGAGCTCGATCAAATGTTGTGGCAAATTCTGTACCAAGATATCCGCTTTACCAAGAGCAAATGCATGGGCAGCATCAGCCAGGTATATGTGACAACCTATTAGAGAGTCTACCGCGCCATTTACTCCTTGGCTTTCTCAAAAGAACTTGCTCTCGTATTAAATTAAATACGTGTGCAGAATGACCGCGAAACAAGAAACCCCTGTGACTATAACTTTTTGTTTTTGCTGACCAGGGCACGCAGTAATACTCTGTATATCCGCAGGATATAGTTACGTGGATCTTCTGTTCCTTGCCTTTGAGTGTTTGTGAACTATTGAGGATTGGAAAGCAATGAGGATTGGAGAGCAAATCTGTTATTGCTTATTTTCCCCTTGCATCCATTTCAAGTTAGGAGTCCTTGTAGTCTGGTGACCTCAGGTTCAATTATGGGTGGCCACGTTGCCGTATCTTCGGCGAGGATATGTTAATAAAGCTAATTTAAAAAATAGAGTGGGCGCCGCTGCGCAAAAACTAGGTAGTGTTTGACGTTCTTACTTTGTTTTATGTTATTAAACATCTTATATTCCTTTGGTGAATAGCAAAGACACGATTTTCTTGTTTTACGCTTCTGTCTAAAAGGTTGGTTATCTATTCGGTAGCAAAATGGGTTTTTTAAAATAATATGAATTTCATTGCATACTTGTCCTCGAGAATACAGTCCCCTAAACTCTTAGGACGCGACCGTGAGGATAAGAAAAATCGTATTAACTTTTCTGTATTTCATTTTTCTTATGGTTTCCCGGCCAAAACAGATGAGCCTTCACACCTTACAGTCTGTGACTCAGCAGAGTGGACGGTTGTCGGGTACTGGAGAGGGTCAGCTCTTCTCCGCTATCGGCATGTATCGCGGCCGACTGGTCGCTATCAAGAAGCTATCAACTATAAAAGTCACTGTCACAAGGCCGGACAAAGTTCACTTCCAGCAAGTACGTGTCTGCGATGTTAACATTCAACAGAAAAGTGAACGGTTCCTTCATTACTTTCTTCACAGTTTAGTACAAAAAAACATGCATGCAAATGGCATTCTTTCGCGCGCGCACGCACACACACACACACACACACACACACACACACACACACACACACACACACACACACACACA